GCGCTGCTGCCGCTACGTGCGGACAGCGCGGCCACGGCCGGTCCTTGCCGGCCGTCCAGCAACAACTCTCGAGCAATCTGACCTGAACTGACATCAACTAACATGACAAGATCATAAACACTGAATTCACATGAAAACATGAAAAATTGCTCGATAAACCGAACATGGCCGTGGCGAGCGCGCCGTGCGCCGCCGACGGCGTTAGGCCGTCTCTCGACCAACTTAACTTATCTCTCGGCAAGTCAACCTCATCTGAACATGATCAATATTTACTAAATAAAATAGCATGATATACTCGATGGATTTGAACTAAACATACTTAACGCAGATGCACGGCCCGTGGTGCGCTATATGTGCGACCACGTCCCCTTGGCCGAACACCGCATAAACATGAATAACCTTCGAACACTTAAGCTTATCTGAACATGATATTACACAAAAAGACTAAACATATGAAGGTTGTTCGGAGAATTCGACTTAAATCATAACATGACTCGACACGGCTACTCGTACGACCTTAACGACATACAACACACATGCAAGCCTGAACTGAAAGCTGAACTCAATAAACATGATAATCTCAGCCTACAACCACACGGAATTTACCTCCGATTATGTTCGACTGACAACAATACTTCGGACTCCCGTGATCGTGTGGCTCTCCGCGTTCGTGGCGTCGCCGTGAGGTGCGTGTGCGTGCGATGGAACTACCTTCTCCAACCTCTCAATCTCACCACTCTCTATGCTGAATACTAAGAAGCATATATGGCTGAAAGTTGAGGAAAAATTCCCCAAACCCACGCCTATAAATAGGGTGGCCGAAGAGGTGGAAAATGGTGAGGTGCCTTAAGAGTTAAACACTTGTCCTCATTAGAGCTAATCTAAGGCTAACTCATCACTAAGTGAACTTAGTCATCACTAAGTATCACAAATGGATGACACCTCCTACTAGCTTAATTAAGAAAAATAGGACAAATCCACCAACTTCCCACTAATCTTTTGCTCACGGCATTTTGCTTTTAATTAGAGAAATCCGTACGGTTTAATATAAGCTAAGCGTGATTAATAAATGTTTAATCACTAAATCATGTTTAATTATTTAATTAAACATAATGCTTAATTACCAAAATTATTCCGAACGTAAACGGTACGTCGAAAATAATTTCCGGTAATCTCGACTGAAATGACTGAAAATAATTAATTCCGAAAGTAATACTCTAAAATATTATTATTTCGGAACTAAAAACATGATTTATACTGATAAACTGACGGGATATTACATAACCTATCCCATTAGGGATAGGAAAATGATTGTTTCAGTTTGATGATGATGACGTGTTGTTGATTATTCAATCGTTTCGAGTTGTGGTTATCTTTATGGGTTAGTTGATTAAAAACCTTCTAAATCTACTTAATTGATTTTTAAATCGAGAGGGGCGAAGTTGATTGATCTCGGCTCAAAATGAGTAACCTTGTTCGTAACTGTATTGCTTATGTGTTATTTGGTTTGAAAATAAATTAATTCATGTTTATATTCTTGTTACGAAAAGTTATTGAATATAAACCTCTAAATTATTGTGTTTATAGAATCACTTAACCGAACCATCAATGATTCGGAATTATTATTAGAACTGAAAACAATTATTTCCCAATTCCCTAACACTTTTAACATCTTTATATCTCTCATAATTTTTAAGTCTTTTATCATTTTAGTGTTCTTAAATTTATTTACAACTTTACTTGCAATTTTACATTTATTAGTTAAACTAGTAAAAATAGTGGATAATAAAAATTAAATGAAATGGATTAGAATGTTTAGAAAATCTTTTTATTTATTTATTTTTAATCGAATAAGTACACAATTTAATCCAGCTAAATCTTCCTTGAGATCGACACGGGAAACGAATTTTTAATTCGGTGCTCGATAAAAATATTTAAATTAAATTTGCTACAACAAATTTGGCGCCGTTGCCAGGAAAGGTTTAGGACTTAACTTATGCGTCTATTCGTTTAGTTATTTTTATTTTTATTTCATCTCGATCTTTTGTGATTTCTTGTTTTCGTGTTTCGCTTAATTTCTCTTGTTTGTCTTTGTGATTTCTTGTCTCTTGACTTCTTCTGTTTTCTTGTTAGTTGTTAATTTTCAAGGTTACTTAACGATTACCTACTCTCATTTATTTTTTGTGTATTTGATTAATTTTTTTGTTTCTCTTATTTTCTATTATTTCTAATTTTTTTAATATATTTTGTTTGTGTATATATTGGTGCTCGTGACCCGTTTTTGTTTTTCTTGTGTGAGGTGTTTCACTTGAAGAGTTCCGATGGACTCGTGTGGATACTCTTATGCCGAAAGCTCATCTTGTGAATACCCCAACTATTATCAAGAGGAGATGTACCCACCACCTCCGAACTATTATGGTTCAACAACTCCAACCGAACCCTATGCTTCATTTTCTCCCACATCCGAGCGTTACCAAGAAATTTTAATGAGCACACAAGTGGCGCTTGCACGCCTCACGATGATCATCGACAAATTTCATAGTTGGAGGAGCATTCCCATTCCATCCGTGCTTCAAGATATACTTACAAAATTTGACTCCACCATTCTTTACTTTCTCGACTTGGACCCATCGTGTATTCCATTTAATGGATATTGTTCTCTATCATTGAGAATAATTCGAGAAAGTATCCGGTTGGAAGGCGTATTTCAATTCATCGTGGACAGGTTTGTTTCATTAAAGGAGAGAGGCCTCACTTTTGTTTATGATGGCACACAAGCGCTTGAAACAAGTGAGGACATTGATAATCTATTTGTTAGAGATATTCACTTAGAATTACATTCTCAATTAATAAAGTCGGTTGTGCCTATTTGCGAGTCGACTGTTTCTAATGAATTTTATTATGCTCGGGAGAACGATTTTGAGGAGGAGTTTGACGAAGTTTTGGATGGTGAGAAATCCGAGCCATCATGTGAGGTCGTCGGACTGAATTTTCTTTTAATGGATATGTTGGTCTTGAATCAAGAATATGTCGTCAATAATCCCGAGATTGTTGACTACACATCTGAGATAGCAATTATGGTGACCGAAATAAAGTCGACATGCTCCACAGATATTTTCATATATCCGGAGGTCGATTATGAGGCTTAGGAGCGCAAATATTTAATACTTTTCTTGATAGGTGTTGATATCCGTGCTCGGAATCAAAAGAACAAAGCCACGAGCATCTACCAGTCCGCCTTCTTACCATAATGCCCATGCTACCACTTCTTGAAAATACGAAGGCGTGGCATGAACGTCAATTCTTTTTGGATCCTGGTTGATTTGAACAGGTTTCGTCAAGCTAATGACGTAAAACAAGCGCTTCTTGGGAGGCAACCCAAGTTTCATTTATTGCTTTCTTGTGTGTTTCGTTGTTTTTTCTTTTATTTTTATTTTTGAATAATGGGAGTTTTTGAGTTTTGTAATTTTCTTGCCAGGAGCGAGCTTGCAGGTTACAGCGTAGACTGAGCTGAACGCCCATGTTGAGCATGAGCGATCGTTTCAAAAGGGAAGACTTACTCGACTTGATACATTTTCGGTTTGCACACCCTTTTCTTTTTTCTTTTCTCTTATTTGTGGTCTTGTGTGTTTGATTTCTTAGTTCATGTTCATCGCATGAGCTTGTGTGATTGTGTGTTCTTTCCTATGTTTTTTGGTCAAGCAATGAGGACATTGCTTTATTTTAAGTGTGGGGGAGAAATCTCGTAATTATGCATGCTTAGGCGTCATTTTTATTTTAGGTGTGTGTTTGTGTTGATTTCCCCATATGAAGCTTAATGTGCTGGAACACGCCGACGAGGTTGTCCTTCCCACGGATCGATATCGGATACCAAACACATACATACATGATTTCGAATTACCCTAAGCATACTCCTAAAGTATGAACAGAGAAATACCTTTCTTCGAGGCTTTGATTCGATATGAGCGATCTTCTAGTCTGTGTCCCAACCACGTTTGGACGTCGGATGGATGACGATCTACCAAACGGTTGAAAGGAGCAGATTGTACTTCGTCTTCTCCAAACCCTTCGCGTGACTTTCTCCTCACGATGGTGGCTGAAGGTGTCACGTTTTGTGATGCTGCGTAGGGTTCAAGACGTGTAATCTCTCCTTTTATAGAGGTCCTTGGGCCAACCTAGGGATCTCTTAGAAGGTATAGGATTTGGGCTCCCTACAGGCCCAAATTCTTATG